TTGACCAAAAAAGGCCAATGAAAAAAAAAAATATATAAAATTTTGTAGGCAGCTGTTTTTTGATTAGCTGTTATATTAGTTGACATGATCGGTAATCTTTACCTATTAATTGAAAGAGCCAAATTAAGTAAAGATTCTTTAATTTTAGAAACTTTTTTCCCATTTTTGTCGGTATACTATTCTTTACAGATCTTGTTTGATACCCTAGTGGTTTCTTTTTCGGATTTTCGTTTATAATTATTTTTTACGGCTTTAAAACCAAAGGGACATACTTCCATAAATCTGTATTAATTTGAATTAGTTAAATTAATTTATGCCTTGAGCCGGGACTGCACCCGTTATTATTTATTGCCAAGTAGTTACTTCATTTACTTTTGAAGTTTGTTTTCTGCTGGAGCGGTCCTCGTATAAATGACTTGTCAATTTATCTTGTTAACGACTTCGCAGCTAAATTAATCTACTTGCACTAGGTTTATTTAAAATGTTCCATTTATTTCACAAATTTATGTTCTACAAACTTTAACACTATTCAGTTGTAAGTTTTCCTATTTAGTTTTATTTTATTTTGTAAATACATAGGTACAGTTATTAATAAATAGTAATAGGGGAAGGTGGGGTAATTCTGCGCATCTAAGCAAAATCTCTAGTATCTTTGTTAAGTTTAAATGTGAAATTTTGGAATTAATACCAGCGATAGTCTACTATGTTTACTATGTGTTTATAATGCGCAATTTATAAAAAAAAATTGTGTGGTATGCAAAAACTACATTTTTTTAAATAATGCATTTGCGCAAAATTACCCACCTATCAGGGTAATTTTGCGCCTCATAGGGGGAAAATTTGCGCTGTATAGAGAAAGATTTGTAGGTATCTAAATAAACCGTTTATTTCTATAATATTATTATATTAAAACATAAAAATAAAATAAAACTATTTTCTCTATGAAACAAACAAAACAAACAAGATCAAAAATAAATAACTAAAAATAAAATTTTTGTTCCTAGAAATAAGAGGGTCTACATGCAGCAGTTGTCATATATGTAGTTTTAGGGGTTGTTTTTTACGCTATACTCCGCGTGTGCCCAAATGGAACTGTTTATGATGAACAATCTAGGCTCCTGTACCAAAAGCTCCCATATTGGCAAAATTTTGCAGCGCAAAATTACCCCAAATTTTCAGCGTAAAATTACCCCCATTGCAAGAAAAATATTGTGATACTAAAAAACATTCCAAAAGTTAACCTGAACAATTTAAACATACACCAGATTACGAGGAAAGATCATATAAAGTTGTGTTATAAACATTTAAGCGATTGGACAGAAATTTAAACTTAACTCGTAGCGGAAACGACATGGATTTCTTAGATCAACGTACATGTGTCACAGTTAGCTAGTGACCATGGTCACTAGGTAAAAGCTACAAGCTTAATTGCGGTACACTTTAGTCCCCGTATACCCAAAGCAACGTTTCCAAGTTTGCAACATTCAAAAAATGTATTATTTACTTCATATCTGGAAGAATTGTTTATGCGTAAAATTACCCACCGCGCAAAATTCCCCCACCTTCCCCTATACGTATTAAAATTTGGGGATTTACCTATAATAAAAGTAAACATGATTATTCCCAAAATAACTCGTTTTACAAAATATAAAAAATTAAGAAATATAGTAGGTATTAAGTTTTAAAAAATCTTCAAAAAATCATTTTAGTTTTATCCTCACTAGTATACCAAGAAATTATAAAAGTAATTCATAAAACATAATATTAATATCAATAATCAATTAAACATTGGTATTTTCATAATTTTTTTAAATAAACAAATTTTATCAAAATAAATGGAATATTTTAAGGGGTGGCTGTAATGCCCAATATCTCTTTGAATATATGTACTATATATAGGGTGGCCCAAATGTCCTATAAAATATGTTAGTTAATTATGTTTTAAGAGCATTCTCCAAAAATCAGCTCAATACAATTTTTTTAGAGGTTGCTTACGAATTTTAAACATTCTAAATATGGTCAAAAATCGAGTTTCTGTTTTTTTAAAATGATATTCTTCAAGATTTGAGTTTTGCTAATAAAGAACCGCGTAATGCTCCTCTAGTTTAAAACTTCAAAGCATTTAGAAGTAAACATAATTAAGGTAGTATCTCCATTTGAAGGGTTTCCATAGAATGTCATCAAAATTTAATAAATGATTTTATCTTACACACATTCACAAATAATTTTTGATTTTTTAAAAGAACAGATTTTATGAGATTTTTATAAAAAAATAAACTATAATAATCAATTTTTAATCTATCAATATAATCTTATTTTATTTATCGAGTTTGGAATCTAATCTCAAAAAAAATTGTTAGCACTTTAAATTGTAAATTTAAATTTTTTGTTGTCAACTTAAGAAACACAAAAATTTAAATTTTAAACCTTTATTTTGCCATTTTAGCAAATATATAACAATTTATATTGTTAATTATTTACTTTTTGTTGTTTTTAGTTTTTATTAATAATTTAATTTGTAATAAAGTATGAATTTTTTAATTAAAATATAATGTTTAATTTATACAACATTGGAACCGCTGAATTTGCTGTCACGAACTACTGATCTTTATTTATCAAACTCTTAAAGTGTTTAGAAGAACAATAAATATTTAAAAAAACATACAAAAAATAACATAAAGTTTTATTTTCCCTAATTTGTTTAAAAACTTTAAGGGATCTTCACCAAATATAAATAAGGGGCCTTAAAATTAATTAATATAAATACGGCCCTGATTATTGGTGTGTACCTGAGACTTTCCTTTCCAGTACGTCATTTTTAAGATACCCCGTATAATAAATTTGTCTACCCGATAGGATACATTTAGTTATTTTTTTATTTAATTACAGTGGCGGTTCGTGGGTGTACAGGAGGGTGAGGCTACATAAGGTTAATTTTGTCTAAATACGAATAAATTTCCACGTCACCCGGGAGGTATTATTCTGCGACGCGTTGACCTTTTTTAAAATGGAGCCGATAGCACTACTAAACCAAAAAATAAACAAAACAAACAAAATATCACATCAAAGACTAGTTTTAATCCTAAACTTAAAAATATTGTTAAAAATAAATAAATTAATCAAAAAATAAAAATAAAACTAAAAAGTCGACCCCTACCAAAGTATTAAAAAATATAAAATACTATACGTCTATCTTTTAAGATTGAAAATTTATCTATTATTTGGTCGTAAAATTGTGGGTCTGCAGTGAGATTTAAAAGTAATTCTAAATTTTCAAACCGCGTCTCTAATTGAAGAATTATGCAATCTATTATTTCAAAATATAAAATTTGCTTAATAAAAACTGCTAAATCTACCTTAGTGTGTTCCCTACAATAATTAAATAAGAAATTTTACTAATCGAGACAAAAACTATAAAAGATCAGCCAAAAGTTTTAAATAATTTAATCTGAATTAAAACAATAACGTGCTCTACAAACGCTAAGAGAAGACTGGCAACCTTCTTTGTCTCCGCTGGCATCCCACCATAAACGGACCACCAATCAGAACAAACCAAGCTAACTAAATTTCGCCTCATCTGCGGTGTTTATTCGCGAACTTACGGCGATATTTTTGTTGGTGAGTCATTTTCGCTTTCAAGAGGTAAATGGGAGCTTCCGAGGCTGTGAAAATTTCGCCTCTGTCTGGCGTCTCAACGATGCACGTTAACTTGACGCGCTTTGCGCCTGGATTTTTATTTACGCTTAATATGATTAATTGGTTTTTTACTTTTTATTGGGTAGAACTGTTGTAAAAATACACTTGTAATAGGCAAAAATATAAATACAAAAAGTCGTTCGTTCCTTCATTTTAAGGGTGAGGCGCGGCCTCAGAGGCCTACCCTGACGAGCCGCCACTGTTTAATTGTCTATTGTCATTAAGTGCCTCTTGACGCGATGTATAACAAATAAGCGATAAAATTAATAAAAAAAATGTTTTCTGTAGATCAACGAATTTGTGTGTATTTATAATTTATTTGTACTGGTTTGACAAAACCAACAAAACCAACTCCTTATATACCTATATGGTCAGATCAAACAGTGCAGTTCACCACACCAATAAAGATTTTTTTCTACTCCTATTATGGAATTTGACCGTTCTAAAATCACTTTTATCTATGGAATGACATTTATTCCGTAAAGTGTTACAGAATAAAATATTCTATCATCTGATTACAGAATATACACTCGTGGCGACATCTCTGTTTTTAATATCTAACAAATTTTAGACCGATCCAACCTCACTTTCTTCCAATTAAATTATTTGTCTATGGTATTTTTTGGAAACGTAGAAAAAGTATAGTCTGAAACACGTTTGGAATTGCATATTCCCCTCTCGTGAAACCGTCAAACTCGCCTTCGGCTCGTGTGACAAACTTTTCACTCGAGCGGAATATGCCGTATTCCAAACTTGTTACAGAATATACTATTCCCAAATTTTGTCTAGATGATAATATCATCATGATATATGTATAGGCTAGGCAACAATCCATACAACCAGGTCTGTTCTATCTCGTTTCGCGCATACTAAAAATCACAAAGTTAGGCAACCTACTGCACATACTCTAACGGCGGCCATTTTTATGTTGTTTACATTTCTTGTGCTTTGGGTTTATGGTGTTTATACAGATTAAAAATCGTTTTAAACGTTTAAATTAGCTAATGCAAAAACAATAGAAGATACACAAATTCTGAACAGTCTAAATCAGTTTAAAAAGTTACCCTTACAAACAAACTTTCACTTAAATAATTTGTACAGGTTAAGAAGTTATTTAGGAAATTAAGAAAAAATCTTTCGAAATATTAAAATATTTGAATAATTAGATTCTCGGTGATTAATTCTCGGTAATTAATTACCGTAAAACCTTCTAAATTGAGATTTGATTGAACACAGTGTGGTAAACTTTTTCCATTATTGTGTTCGATTTGACGTGGAATGACCATGTTAAATAAAACAATTACCTTCATTTGAGTCCACATCGGAAAGTCTCCTTTTGGTGCCCAGCCTGAGCAAGCTGGTAACGGAAAAGTGTCTCGAGTTGGCCGTGCAATGCTGCGTCCTGTTGGCGACGGCGGCCAAACCGTTGCTGTTGAACTCGGCGGCCGTCGTCGGCACCCCAAAATCCGTCATGTGACCCTCGAATCCGAACATGACCCTTTCAAAATCAACTCTTCTGCGACTTCCTTCCAATAGACTTCCTTATTTCCCACCTGTGCTGGCGATACGCGACGCGCCAAACAATGCCCGCTTCTTCTACTGCATAATGCTACTCACTTTGCACAATCACTTAATTAATTTGTACGTTGGTTGGGCGCGCGTAGCTTCTTTTGTTTCTTCGAAGGTCTGGAACACAAAGAAACACCTTTAAATGGATCCATTGAACACGGGCATACTTAAATTCAACGATATACGTATGTAGGTAAACAGAACGACTATAATCTGTCTCCAAACCCAAATTCATATTTTTTATATTTATCTTGCAAGATAAAAGATTGCAATGTATATGATATGAGGTGCTTGAGAAAAGGGCTGATTTTTGCATTTAATATAATATACACTACTTAGGGCCGGTTTATCAATGTCCAGTTAAAGTTGCAGTTAGTTATCTGGCAGATAATTGCCATGGATACCATTGTTCTCACAACGATCGATAAAGAATTTAACTGTCAGATAGACTAACTGGAACAACCAGAGATTGATAAACCGGCCGTCAAACAGTTACACTGTTATAAAAATCAGATTTGAGTTTCAGTTTTTTAATTTTATTTTGTAAAATTTTAACATAATTTTTTGTAGAAAACAAGGGTTTGTAATTATTTTAACAAAGGAAAATATTTTACCGAAAGTTTTGTAAAGGTAATATGCATTTCGTAAGCATTGTGTTAATTTTAAAGGTTACACATTATTTTGTTAATGCTTGACAAATTATTTCGTTAAAAATGTACGTGATTTTAGGCAGTCAATCAAAACATTTTCCATTTAGAATACCCATTAACAAGTTTAACTAACTGTATGGTTCGGAACACAAACGAAATTATGATTCCTCGTCCTTACATAGGTTTTGGATTCATTCACTGCGGTAAGACGAAAATAAGTGGTGCCATCTACTGTCTTTTGACATGTTCTTTATGTTATATGTTTAAGACGGTAGATGACACCACTTACTTTCGCCTCACCGCAGTGAATGATTTCGAAACCTTTATAAGGACGAGAAATCATAATTTCGTTTGTGTTCCGCACCATACAGCAACTCGGTACTGATGCTCCAATAAAGGAAAACATCTATTTATCGATGCTGGTGAGGAACACGAACGAAATTAAAGAAAAGCGGAGACGAAATAATTACATTAGTAAGTGTTGTAGTACTATAGTATACTAATAATTTATATTGTACCAAATATCTTTATAATTTGATGATTTCAGAATTATGTTATTTAATTGTGTGTATGTTTTTTTTTAGTTCATTTATGTAGGTATGTGTTTTTTTTTTATAGGAAATTGACTAAAAAAGCAACATTTCTTATCAAAATTATTTTCATTTAACTTCCGAGAGTTACAAAAAATACTTTTGTCACTGGGTCTACAAAAAGGGTTGTAAAAATACAAAATTACAAGAATTTTGGTTAAAATATTGACATAGGATTTTGTTATTAAATCTACAAAATGTTTGTTATATAATTACAAACTACCTATTCAATTAGTTAACAAATAACATAAAGTTATGTGGACCTGGATTAAGATAAAATCTAGTTAACATTTGGTTAAAATTAACAAATATTTTTTAATTGAGTAACCCATAATATTAGCAAAAACGCCTTCCTTAAGGAATTTTTTTATTAACAACCATTATTCTTCAAAAACATTCATATATTTTAACACCAACAATTTTTGCAAATTCTGGTTAACTGTTGGACCCGATCAAATTAGAACGATTGTTAATTGATGCTCTGATTCCGAATCTTTAATCCACTTGGCAACATTCGTTAACGAATTCTTCGAATTCTCAACCTTGTAATTGTTTTCTAAATTGTCATACGGAAAAATTAAAAAAGGAATATTTGTCAGACCTGATATTCGAGAATTAATGGCTGTGTTGTTCACCACTTCCTCGGTAACCGCAAATTACCGCAGTATTGGAGCTAGAATATCTCTCAAGATGCATTTTTCCCATTCCCATCTCGATTTTATTCTGAAAACATAAGCGATAAGAGCAAGGAGAGCGCCTCCTCTAAGATCTAGCGAACATCCTAAGACGATACCAAGGATTTTGGGATGAAGGCATGATGAGCGACTACTTTTGGAATCTAATGCGTAAAACGTATCCCAAACAATACAATCGACCCATATCCCCCGCTGTTCATTTCTGATTTGAATACAATGGCCATTAATAATTATTATTAAAAATAGTACAAAAAATAATATATTGACTCCCTGAAAACTAAAACCAATCTTAAAAAATGGAGTTAAGATTTGAATACAGAATTACCTTAGAAACTTATGGTTGCTCAGGTCCAAAAACGTGTGTGTATCTTCACGATATTTTTTTTTATATCAATTTAAAAGAATTCATTACAGCCATGGTGAATATGTTTTCTGCGTCAAAAAGCGGGTAAAAGCAAACAAAAATTACAAAATTAATTATATTTGACTTCAAAACAAGTCTATTTGCTTTGTGCAAATGTCTTAGACCCTTTCATATCTTATATACAGTGTTATACCCATTTGTTTGCGACTCACCCCTGTAAAATCTTTATTTATTTTGCGATTCTTACCGGATTTGTAGATCTTGATAAACTATATTTTTGGAGCAAAAAACAAAAATTAAATTTTTAAGAATAATTCATATTAACAATTTTTTAATCATAAACAATGTTGAGAATGGTTCAAACTTATTATAGAAATTTAAATTCCTGATTTACTCCAAAAGCATTTAGAACAGAAACTAATATTTTCCGGCGAGACAAAATTTCCGTTATTGGAGTGATCCCAATCCACTAGCAATACTCGAGGCTGCTTTGTGCAACCGGTAAAATTTTGAAAAAAAAACAGTTTTTTCCTTTTTTTCCCAGGTTTTGAAAAAATGGCTTTTTTTGGGAAAAATTGATCTTTTTAATTTGGAATGTATACACATTTAAAAAAGTAGCAATCAAGAACTTAACAAAATTTTAATTTAAAAAAATATCCTTTATTACAAAAAAAATAAATAAAACAAAATATTAAATTAAATTGGTTTAAGAAAATAAACGTAATCTTTAAAATTTAATATTTAATATACTGTGAGTCCATTTAAAATATCCAATTACAAAATAATGAATTAAAGTTAAATACAAAATTATAATTGTGTCAAATAAAACGAAAGTTATGTTAATACAGCACCGAATATGTTTTTTGCGGCCCGGTAGAATATTCTTACTGAATTAAAATAAAAGGAATAACTTTTATTATCGTAATATTATGATTAGGTATATAAAATTATTATTAAACAAATTGCCTTTTGAATTTTTTTCGTACTCTTTAAAATTAAAAAAATGCAAAAGTCAATTTTTCTGAAAGTTTCCTAATTTTTTTTGTAAAAAAAACGGTTTTTTCCGCCAGCTCAATTTTTCCGGAAATTTTTAAACCCTAGTATTTAAAATAAAAACGTACGACCAATTATTTTTTTACAAAATTTTATGATATTACTGGACAATCTGGAAAATCTTTATTTTCACCTATTTGGTGAGACTTTCGACATTGCTGACAATGAACGTAATAATTATTGCACTGGACGCAATAATTTTTGCACGAGAAGTTGGTTACTCAAGAGAAGTAAATAATTTCAGCTAGGTCTGCAATTTTTACTTTTATAGTTAGGATGATCTCATGGGCGGATTTAGGTGTGGACCTAATGGGCTGCAGCCTTTGGTCCCGCCCGATCCAGGGCCCCCGGGGGCCTACTCGGTTAAAATTTGAAAAAATAAAAAATAATCATATTCAAATTTTAGCTCATAATATTAGTGGTTCCCAATCGCGATTTTCTATTTGCTAATAAAATAACATGGACAATTCCATTCCTGTCAATTTAAAACTGTCAAAAATACGGTTTGCTGACGGATAAAAAGGAAGGAACAGAAATGCAATATTTACCTTCTCCATAGTAACGGTTGTATTATTGTATAAAGAAAATTTCTCTGAGAAATGCAAAAGTGACCAAAATGACTTAATTTATTTACTCGTGAAATTTTCTGAACAAATAACACACGAGGTTCAATTGATCAGGATTTATTAATAATAATAATAATAATTTAATTCTAAGAAATTTGGGCGAAAAAATCACATTTATATTACAATTATTGTAATCTCGAATATCTCGGAAATGGTTTATTTTATCGAAGTTTGAGAGGTACAACTTTTTAATGGTAGTCGAACTGTGTAATCTAAAAATTGCATAAAATGTTATAAAAACCTAACCTCAAAGTTTGTATGGGACAATAAGCTTAAATCAACCCCCGTTTCTACGACACTGTGTTCACTCAAACAATTATAATAATTCTGAGTGAATATGTGTTTTGGTAGTAAGTGACTGTTCGCAAAATATCACCTTTCCAAGACTACCGTAGTAGAGGTTATATTAAAAAAACTGATAATATAAGTAACACTTTATCACCCTGTATCTTGGAAACCTAAGTAATTAGGAAAAATATTTATTTGGGTTTTCGTCTTATTTTGACTGGCTCAATCTTTTCCTAAATTTATGCCAATAAGTTTAGGGACACCTTGTATATTATAAATGACCAGAACATATACTATGTTCTGGTCATTTATAGAAAATTTATAATTTTATGGTACCTATTTTTTAGTTTTTCTGACTTTTTATGTAAAACTATCGGATTTATTACAAAATGTCCAAGGACATTTTTGACCTAAAAATGTTGTTTTGTTTTTATTTGTTAATAAAAGTAATGCCTTATTTATAAATATTTATTTATTTTTGTTAGGTGGGTCATTCCACTAAAAAAATAAATCCCTTTTTTATAGGTAACTTCATACATATGTAAGTGCATTAATTTAAAAAGTTGTTTGATATATAAATATAAGAAATCTTTTTGATAAAACCCAAACTTGTATAGGCCCCCAAACAGCTTTATTTGGATTCTTATATACCTTTTAATGTTATTTAACCCGGTTTTTAATAGCTGATAAATTTAAAAATAGATATGAGATTAATAAATGTCATTACACGTCAGATCAAACAGTGCAGTTCACCACACCAACTGAGATTTGTCTCTAATTTTGTGTGGATAATTTAAGGCATAACCACAAATCTCATATTTAAGAGTTCTACGATGATTAATAACCGATAAATAAAATTCACCTGTACAACAAATTTAAGTAAAAATTTGTTTCTAGAAATTACTTTTTAAGTTTATTTAAAAAATGTAATCAGAATTTATTTATCTTCTATTGTTATTGCATGAGCATTTAATTTTTTTCTGGATGTTAGATCAGGTTTTAAATTGTTATATGTATGTATGTTGTAAAAATAAGGCGTAGGTACCACAACTTCCAGAAAAAATGCCATCTTGGCTTTCTGCCTAGTATCTGAGAAAAAAACTATTTAACCAAAATGTGACTAAAAAATGCGAGCTTTTTAAAACGACATGTGAGTCACATGATGTGACAGATGTCAAAAATGTGATTTTTATAAATTATAATAATTAGTTTCTCGATAAGTACAATTAACTAGTTATTGTAGAAACTTTAAATTTTAGGTTTGTGCTTATCCTAGCCCATAAATCATTTACACAAAATTCAGGGAAAATCACCTACTTTGACGACGCTATCGTATTTTAGTGTCTTAATTTAGGTTATTTTAAATACACTTTATCGAGTAAATTGCCACTTCTTACTTTATGCTCAATTTTATGGGATACTGCGCTAAGAACACTATAAATAAAGCGGTTTTAGCTACTAAACCAAAATAATGCATAACTTTTTAAAAGGGTCATAAAACAAATTTGATTTGATTGAGGTTTTAAATCAATACGAAATACATAAGTAATTACGTTGCGTAAAAACTTATAAAAACTTATAAAAACGTATATATTATATATTTTATCAAAGATTATTTTTAAAGTCAAAATACCTACTTATCATCCGATCTACAAGTATCCTTGTATAGATTACTTAATCAGTTTAAAGTTTATCAATATTTTTTTAAATAAAACTAATTGTTTTGAAAAGATAAGATAAAAAAAATTGTAAATACGTATAGGTACCTAACAACAAAAGAAACGTGTATGTACTCTTTAAAAAATGTAAATTTGATTTTGGAATCATTTAATAAAACATATTTGTTTATAAATAAAGAAAAACCATGAAAATCCATTAAAAATTTACAGTACAGAATTAATTAAAAATTATATAAAACATTTGGTAGGTATATCTAGTTATATTAAATCCAAAAACATGTACAATTGGAAGCTAATAAAACAAATAAATATTTTAAGTATCTATATTTTAAGTCTTTATATTGCTTAAAATAAAAAACTAGGAAAATTTACAAAAATTTTATGAAATTGTACGAAACCAACAAATTTATTATTAGTATATTTTAATATGAGAGATAATGCAGGCTATTATTCACGAGGATGAGGTTTGCGTCTCGAGTCGCCAGACGAAAGACTTAAATCATTCTAGTGAATAATGCGCATAATCTCGAGTGTAATACCATACTTTATCCACTCCAATAAGTAGGTAAATAAATGATTTTTAAAAATAATGAAATAAATCTGAAATCTGTCAAATGGTTAACCTCACTTTTTACCTATTACCTATTACCTTCTCCCAATTTAAAACCCGATTGCTTCAAATCACAGTAAATATTAAAATCAGCCAATAATAAGTTCATTATTCCCGTTGTTAGGCAGGGAATTTTAAATATTTATCATTATTTACGAAAAAAAACCCAATTTTATGTAATAGGAGTAGATAATAGTATCAAGTTTGATAAACGCCATTTTAGACATGAATTTAATTTAGACAAGAGCGAGCTTGCGAAAGAGTGCTTATTTATATGAGTGTCTAGAAAAGTTTATAAACGAGTTGAATACTATAGGTACTTCTTCTACGACAAATACTAATTATTATCTAAAAATGATTTAAATTAAATATTTGTATAAAGCAACAACTATAAAACAATAGGGTAACCAGTGGCGGCCCGTCAGGGGAGGCAGGTGAGGCATAGAGAATTAAAAAATTAAGTATAATTTAAATATTTTACTTTCTATAATATACTATAGATTTTTAATATTTGGATTACATGAATTGTGAAATAGTCAATAAAATTGATTTATTTTATACGTGAAATACCCAGCAACATTTAAATTATTTGAATTTGAAACGACCGCAATTTAAACTAATATTTATAGCTAGATGATTGGCTCAAAAGCATACCTGAACTAATTTAGACTCACGATTGACGTTAGCCTTGTTGCCTCGTTCTATTACAATGCGATATCATAGTTGTCTCCACAATCCATTGTGGTTGTCTCCTTCTCTCGTATTAGCATACGCGAGGCAGGCACGCCTACATCCAAGGAAATAAGCATGTGTTGTGGCAACACTGTTGCGGAATTTCAGATAAATTATACTTCACACGTTTTTCAAAATTCAATAATAAATGGTATTATTTTTCTTATAATAAATCGATTTAATCGAAATTATATTTCTATTCTAAAATAAACATATTTTAACACTATTGCCACCTTGTAGCCATCACAATAACCAATAAAATAAATACAGATTCCTTCTTTAGGTTTGTTTTGGTTATAAAATTCTGAACTGTTTAAAGAACAAATCTGTGGTTATTTTTTTTATTCTTTTTCTATGAGTTTGTATATTTTATGATTCTTTTGTAAGTGGTTTATTCTGTGGGTTTAGTTAATTGAACTTGGTGATTTATGTGAATTTAGTCATTATGGATATTACGGTGAGAAATTGTACCGATATTGTTGACCTTCACGTGGTTCTTGCTGAACAATGAAATATTAATTAGACAAAAATGAGGTTTATTTAAAATAAACGTCATTTTTACAATAAAATATATAAATAAAGTAGAGGACGTCAGTTTTGTTTAAGTTGGGTTTAAAAAATGTCTTCGCCTTTAAATGAGGGCGAATCCCTGCCTCTGCCTCACTAAAATGATATGTCACGGGCCGCTACTTAAGGTAACCAACTTAGGAATTTGTATAATGTGAAATTTTAAGTGTAAATCGAAATGTATCCATTGAAAATGGACCGTTTAATCTGATATAGAAGCAGTTATTCGCAGTGAAAGTAAAGAAAATGTTTTATTGGCATTCCACGGTGAATTCTTCACCTGAAATTAGCCCATTAAATCTAGTTTACAGCCGGCGAAATTAAAAGGCCAGTACAATGTTCATATAAACTTTTCAAATATTGGCATTGAGAAACTATTTATACTTTTGTATTTTTGTATTAAGTTAATAAACTAATTTTTACATTAATTTTTAGTGTTATTTTACAAAAAGGAAACTTTATTTTAACGATTATATGACATTTCATAATGTGCGTAATGCGCGAATGGAAATTTAAAATTTACCATTAATGAATTCTTCACTAGTTGCATATATAATTTTTTCTCTCAATATCAAATAAACGTAAACGTTGCGAACTGAAGAAGATTATTCCAAATTTATCATATTCGCCATATAATATCATCTGTCAAAAGAAATTAACCTCAGTTTTTCATAATTAAATTATTTCTCCTTTATGTGTATTATGCGTATTTCTTGTAATAAAAATTATTTAATAGGAATACAAATTCGTTCAAAATACAATGTTTACAATGTTTAAAATCATATTTATGTAAGTAGCCATTATAAGTATGTAAAAATAGTTGTAATGTATTGTTTACTTTATGTTTATTCGATAAACTTTATTGTATTTTTCTTCTTCTTTTTTATTATTCCACTAGTGCACCAATATTTTCATTGTTCAATTAGTGTAACAATAGCTTACTTTGTTCATTTTTTTCGAGTAATGTCTTAATTTTAACAATAATTATTTTTATATTAAGGTAAAAGACCTCATTGGTAATAATGTAATGTCAAACAGAATACAGGGTGTTTCTATTCAAAATAGACAACGTTTTTTCTGTTGGTTGATATATTTTTAAAAATTGTTTTTTTTGTTTTAAAATTTTAGACCTTCTTTTGTTTTTATGTTGGTTGGTATTTTTTTATGTTTAAAACAAAAATTAAAGAAATTAAAGTGACATTTTTTTTAAATAACGGAGAAGAAAAGATTTTCTATGTAAAAACAAATGATAATTTATTTATTTAAAAAAAAGTGTTGGTCTTGATGAGATCTGCAACCTCTTTCAAAATATCGACCATCTTTTGTTTTTGCATAAACTTTTTATCTTTGTTGATTAATAGTTTTCATTAAAATGTTTAAAACAATAATAATTATTGTGGATATTAAACTAATAATTCCTAAAAATTAATTTTTTAATACCCGGCTATAAACATCAGGGGTATAAGTAAAGAAAAAGATTGATAATTTGAAAACAATAGCTGAAATAAAAAATATTTATTTAAAATCTTTTTAAGATTTTTTTTTGACTTTTTTTTGCTTTTTTAATTTTTTACACCATAAATAATAAATCATAATAAATAATGTAATAATAATTAAAATACATTTATTGATTTAAATGATTGATTTGATTGTGTTTAAAGGGGGGACAAAATTTCTTCTTATTTTAGGTAATTGTTTTTTATAAGGTGTAATTAATAATAATTTATTATTATTATTAATAAAACATAACTAAGTATATTTTTAAATATTGAAAATGTATAAATTTTGAGAGTTAATTTTTAATTTTTAGGACTATGCTTGGCCGATTTGTCATATTTTAATAATAATTATTAGATATTGTTTAGAACTACAAATTTTACGTTTGAGGAAAGCACAAGCTGATTACGACCAATTGGCTACGAAAAAAAAATGAATGAGTAGATAGCGTAGATAGTAGTTTTTTATGTACCTACATTTTAATCTTTAGGAGCCCAGGAACGGAGAAATGCTCTTAGAGTTTTCGTTAATTTTACAGAAAAGCCCTTTACAAAACCCTATAGACTAAGGAAAAAAGGTAATAATTTTAAAAATCCATTTAAAACTATACAATTTAAAAAACTTATTAATAAAATATTTTTAAAGTATAAATATTTATAAAAAAAATAAAAGAATGCATAGAAATAAACATTGGCAATAAGTCCTGTATTTTGAATAATTTTATTATAATTCTACTTACCCGTTAACAGTCGATAAATATGAAGCACTCACCGTTTAATAAATTAAACAAATTGACCGTCTATTCAATTTCCAAGTCGAACCGTCACAATTAAGTTTATTGTTGCCCGAAAATTGAAATTAATGATTGTTTTGGTTTTGCACTAATTTAATAAGCGAACTCGAATGAAATTCGAAAACTGGCAACAGTTTCAGCCGCTGAAATCTCGGCTCCGTTCCCCCACTCCTCGGTTACTTAAGCTGAAAGAGGGCGTGGTTTCGAGATCTTACAGAAATTAAGGCTGACACACGCAAAGTACCAGAGTTTCCTCCTGTTTTTTTCGGAGGCATAAGTCTTGTCATTCGTCTGTCTAATTATCGCTCTCGGGGAAACGCTTCGCTCTTTGATATTCGAAAAACCGTAAATTAAATCACTGTTAACATAAATTATTATAATTGATAAATTTATCATGAGCCTATTGTCAGTTTTTGCTGCCAAGTTTTTTTTAGCTGGAGAAGCTCAACAATAATTTTAGTTAAAGTTTTGCTTTACCACCTTTGCTATTTTTTAAAATAGATTTTTAATTTTTTTGGTAAAAAACAAGGCATTTTTCATAATTGTTAACCATTAAAACAATTTAAAACTTTTTTATTTTTGACACGTAGAAAAGAGTAGGTACTTTAGAAATGAACACAGCCTTTTCAAAACGCTACAAGACTTTCTCTTGCATATTTAGGTGGAGCTCCTTGGTAAATATTTAACAACAATCATCTTCAGTGATGTCATTAACACAAAAACAAAAACCTTTGTTTATTTTAAGCATTTAACTTTAAATTCCCTAGAAAACACAAAACGAGGAGTATTTTCAAGATAGACGCAATTTTTTCTTCCCCGCGAATGAAGTCTATTTGTTTTATCAGGTGATCACTTACCACGGAGGACACCATTAAATTTCCGACCATACGTAGGACATGTTTAATATACGAGGTGTGTTCAGAAAATATCGGGAATTTTCGTTTTTTGAAACCAATATTTATTTATTCGTCTACATTAATGTTCCCCATTGGATATTATGAACATGTGCCAGCTCTTCATCCAATACTCGAAACACTTATAAAACTCGATCTTTAGGATAGCCTTTAGTTCTTTCAGCAATGCGCTTTTAATGTCATATATGCTTCAAAACGACGGGTTCTCTTTATTTTTGGGAATAGGAAAAAGTCAGACAGAGGCATGTCTGGCGAATGTGGAGGCATTACAGTGTTGATTTGGCCAAAAATTAACAATTTTAGAACAAATTTTGCTGCCACGCGTTTCATACCCAAAACATTCGAAAAAATTTCATGGGATGAGCCAATCGATATACCAACGTCATCAGCGACTTTTCTAATGGTTTATAACCATTTCTTCCACTTTTTCCATGTTTTTATCGGTTGTTAATGTGCTTTTGCGTTCGGGGCGTTCATCATCTTCAACGTCTTCACGGCCATCTTGGAAACTCTTATACCACTTGTAAACTCTTGTTTTACTTATAGCAGACTCACTATAAGCCTTTGTTAACATTTCATAGAATTTATTTCATTTTTTAAGCAAAATTGGATACAAATTCTTTGATCCATTTCTTTTAACGAACGAAAAATCGCCGAGCTCATAAAACACGTCTAACCTTAGCGGCTGCCACAGACAAAGTAAACAATTAAAACAGCTAAACTTTTTATCATACTTCGGGGGCATGTATACCAATATAATAAAGAAAATTGTATGACAACCGGACCCTTCGAACCCGCGAAATTTAACAATTCCCGTTATTTTCTGAACACACCTCGTATAATTTAAACTATGTTTAAGAGAAATATGTTTAATTTTTCGTAAAAATTATGAAATACAGTGTGACATTTGTTTGCGATTTTATTGCGTTTTTTATTTGTTAAAACTACGCATAAGAATGTTTATAGGTACCATGTTACTATTAGTTTAATTTTGTTTAAATGTTTTCTTCATTGATAACTAGACAGAATAAATTTTGCTCCAAAAATACAGTTTAGCAAATTCTACACTTTAAAACAAATCCGGTTAAAATCGCACAATAAATAAAGATTTTGCAGGGGTGAGTCGCAAACAAATGGGTTACACTGTATAAATCGATAAAAATATAATTTTCTTCACAAAATATTATCCAATAATTATAATAATTTGCATATTTTAGAAAGGAAGTATTACATTTAATTTCATTTACTTAACCATGAGAAGTAAATTTTTTATCCACGAAAAAATAAATTGAACAACCAAATTCCAAATGTGCATCAATTTATAATAATAAAGGCTACATACAAGGCCTAAAATTGAGCGAAGCACAAAAAGACACTTCTCAGCCTCATCACATACCTACAAAATTTTATCCTCATGGCATATTTTTATTTTTAAACAATACAATGTATTGTCATATAATATATGTCATAAAACGTACAATTATAATATTAATTATTAATAAACGAAGAAAGTAAGGTTTGATTACATCTGACAGTATACTATAGTCGAATTTTTTGATAGGTCCATACGGTTTTTTTTCAGGCCATTATTTACTATTTTCTATAAATATACAAAATATTTTTTAAATTATGGCAAAAAGATTTATTGTGCAACCAGTGGAGAAAATGATCGATTATGAACGAGCATTCGTTTGACAAGCGAGCGAAGCGAGCTGGGCAAGAATAAGAGTTTATAACACAGGCCCACAAAAAAAGGTGGAATGAACTTTACATGCTGAATTCGAATCCGGTCTCAGAATTTCCAGTGAACCCCCCAGTTTTTCCCTAGCCTAGGGGATATGCGTAAAATCTTAGAAATTTCAATTTTTATCTACGCAATATTAAATGAAACGATAATATTTTCACGTATCTCGAGTCGCTTAGTTCGAATCTCACTGTACCTCAGAATTCCACTATCCTATGATAGGATTCCTATCCACTATTGTGTGCGATGAATCTCCTTTTTCTCCCGCTATGGTGGGCTTAAAGATAAATAATATATTGTACGACTATAGTCGTAGGTACAATATATTATTTATTTTTAAGCGTTCTATAGTTAATAAGCTTTATTATTGTAAACGCTCACTACCAAAGTATTCGATTTTCTACTATGCTGTAAAAATAATTTAAACCAATCAGATGAAGTTTTTTTTCACCCTAGTCTGTAAAAAACCCGTCAGGACCAATTAATCGATAACTGTTGACAGTTCTGAAGCTTTTAACCTCACTTTTAACTTTTATTAATTGTTATTATAATTGTACATTTTATTTATCGTTTGACAAATAAAACTTTGATTTGAAGATAAAATGTTGTATGTCATTCTGCCGAGAAGTGTTTTTGTACTTAGCTCAATTGTATGCCTCCGCTGACGCGTCGACCTTCAAACTTTGACCTCACCACCCTATTAAAAATGCCATATAGATAGAATTTCATACATGGAAAACCATATAGAAAAGTGGTTTCTATATGGATTGCCATATAGGTTCAGATTGAACCATATTGGAGCTTTATCTTGCCCAATATGGTTTGGGTATGAAAAAATTATTACCATATAGATCCATTTTTAATCATATAGGGGAATCTACAGTTTAATATGCAATTTTGTTTAAATATACATACATTTTAAAATGGAATTCCATATTCAACCATATTATATTATATATTATATTATATATTATATTATATATTATATTATATATTATATTATATATTATATTATATATTATATTATATATTATATTATATATTATATAGGGAATACTATATGGAAAGACACATAAAACAGAAACCAGATAAATCCATATAAACATCCCTAAATTGTACATTTTAAAATGAAATTTCATATTAAACCATATAGATTCCAAAGTGTAAACCAGGTCGTTTCATATAGGACATATAGAACCATATAAATCCATATTAGTTTCCTTATCTGGATCAATATGGGTTATATAGGTCATTTTTAATAGGGCACAAAAAGACTTACTTTTCAGCCTTATGACATAAATTACCTACTATTATTTGATATTGTACAGGGTGATCCCCTATAATGTCGCCCCCCTTTAACTTTTTTATTTTAAGTGTCCCAAAAAATTTAAAAGTGTGGTTATGTAGGAACTAAAAAATACTTTTATATACGTATAAAGAAAATTGGAAAATTGATCAGTATACAGGGAAAAACAAAAAGTTTATTTTTTTTCAATGGATCACCCTATATATGAATTTATTTTTCGATTCCTTGTAAAATTCTAAGCATATTTCATATATTATACCATATACCTAAATTCAACCGTTTCTGAAATATTTAAATTATTTTTAAGATAATAAGTTGAAAAAGTTTGCCTTTCTCTGTCTGAGTACGCCATTTTTACTTATTTAACAACACTTATTGACATAATGTCACTATAGTAATTTATTTTCAATAAAAATTTTGGTATACTGAGGCTTCTTCATTTTTAACAGTTTAAAAAAACATTTAATGATGACATTTCGAATGCGAATATTTCAGAAACGGTTGAGTTTAGGTATATGGTTTGTATATAAATTATGCTCTGAATTTTACAAGGAATCGAAAAATAAATTCAAATATAGGGTGATCCATTGAAAAAAATAAACTTTTTGTTTTTCCCTGTATACTGATCAATTTTCCAATTTTCTTTATACGTAGAAAAAAAGTATTTTTTAGTTCCTACATAACCACACTTTTAAATTTTTTGGGACACTTAAAATAAAAAAGTTAAAGGGGGGCGACATTATAGGGGATCACCCTGTACACCAGGTGGTGGGGTAAATTAAATAATTTTATTATCACTTAGCATTATTAAATATTAAGTAGGTAATCAATTAGGTAATGTAGGTTACGGTTATTTTTATTTAAATTAATGTAAAATTAAGTAAAATTGGCAAAGCACTAAATTTAATGGATTATTAATTTATAAAGGATTTAAAAAAATCGATTTGACATTATGAACTCTATATAATATTAAATAACATTAACAACATATACAAATTTGATTTATTAATCTAAATATCTAAGGAATTCTT